TTTATTAACAGGATAACCTTGACTGTAGCCCCGGGCGAGCGGCCACCGGGCTCAGGGTCCGGCTGCTAGGAGGTGGCAGAGAAGCAGGGCGCCAGAAGCGCCGCCCTGGGAGAGGGGCCTCTCCGTCGGGCCAGAAGCAGAACGCTGTGAGCGGGCGGCGCTGGGGGCGGCCCACTGTACTAATGCAATAAACACTTTATCCGCTGACGCTGGAGTGGCCCCAGCAGACACCGCTGGCCCCAGGCCTCGCTGTGTGGCCTTGGGCACCTTCCTGGCAGCTTTGGGACGTTTCTTCTAAGGGGTGAAAGGTGGCACCATGTGCCTGGGCGGGTCTTATGGCGCCTGTGGAGATGCTGACATGCACAGTAGATCCTCAATGATACAATTTCTGGGCGCAGTGCTATGGAGAAAATAAAAGTGGGTGATGTGGGCAGAAGGGCGTGACACTTGAGCTAAGTGACGAAGCCAGCCATGGGGCATCTGGGGCAGAACGTCCGGGCAGGGAAGAGGCAGTGCAAAGGCCCTGAATGGGCACAAACTTGCTGTGTTAGACAAGTCACGGAGGCACCCTAGCTGTGTGGTTCAGTGGATAGTGTCGGTGGGCCTGTGGACTGTTCCATTCCCAGTCAGGGCACGTGCCTGGGTTGCAGGCTCAATCCCCAGTGGGGGGGGTGTGTGCAGGAGGCAGCCCGATCAATGATTCTCTCTCATCATTGATGTTTCTCTCCCTCTCCCTTCCTCTCTGAAATGAATAAAAGTAAATGGGAAACAAGAGTCAAGGAGGCCAGTGTGAGACAGCGGAGAACTGGGCTGGGTGTTGGGGAGGCAGCGCCCCAGTCCTGCTTTGTCCCCTTTGGGAAGGAGTGACTACCTAACAGCAGAGGGTGGGCCCTGGGCTGGGCCTCTCTCCTTCAGGGTAGGCGGCGCCCCTCATCTTTGGGCAGCCTCTGTGAAAAGGGGATCAAAACACTAGAGCGTCAGTGGGGTGGTTCTTCCCAGCCTCCCGTGCTCTGTGCAGGAGGAGCCAGGGTCCGTCCTATTTACAGATGAGAAAACGGGTCAGACGGGGCAATCCTTCACAGGGCTGCAGGCTTAGTAACAGACAAACCAGCCTTCAAGTTAGGTCCTCCAGCTGACATGGCTGCCCGCCTGGATGGGGCGATCTGCTCCCTTGTCCATCACCCTCAGCCCCTGGTGCCAGCAGGTCAGACGGTGGTGGGTGCTTATCTCACATTTGCTTGGAGAGACCACCCCGCTGTGGGCAGGGGTCTTGCTGTGGCGAGGCACAGGGCCCCCCACATGTCTAGGCTGCCGCTGGAGGTGCGCCTGAGGCTCCGGGCTGGCGTGTGTATGGGAGTGGCAGGGTCCCCGGGAAGCCCCCGGGCACGTGCACTGGTGGAAGCCTGCCCTGGTCGGGTGCCATCGCCAGCCCAGAGCCCGCACTGGCCCCTGCCAGTCACTCCGCTCCTTCCTCTAAATATAGCCCAGGGGCTGAGCTCAGGCTTATTCTGGGCCCAGGCTGGGAGGCAGCCAGGCTTCCCCGGCTTCTCTGAGGAGCCACTGCTGCCTCCATCCTGTCCTGCTTCTGGGGCTGAGATCGGGCCCTGACTGCCCACCCCATCATGCCAGAGGAGACCCAGCAAGGTAGGTGACTGAGGGAGGGCAAGGCGCCAGAATGATGACCCTGTGGACCCGGGAGAAATCTGCCCCGTCCACTGACCTCACTCCCTCAGTTACTCATCAGTCACCATGTCCCAGCTCACGCCATGGGGCCTGCACCTGTCCATGGAGGAAGACCCCCGGCCTGGACCCTCTCACCTCAGGCCCTGCCTGTTTCCCTGGGGACGGCAGGGAGGGATTGGGGGAGCCACCCGGAGCGGGAGGGTTAACCACAGGCTGCAGCCAAGTGGGTGTGGGTGGGGCAGCTGCCTGGCCAGTTCAGCTCTTCCTTCAGGGAAGAAGCTGGGCTTGGGGGTAGGCAGTGGTTGCAGGAAGCATTTGGGCCCATGGCCCAGGGCCTGGGGGGAGCTAGGCTTCTGGCTCCCTCCAACTTGGGCCTGAGTGGCCCCACCTGGCTCAAGGTTGGGGTCCCTTGGCTGGTCAGAGTGACTCTAGTTAAGGCTTTGATGGCCACTCGCCACTGCCCCGCTCGTGCAAAAGGGGCCGAGCAGGGCCCGCAGGCTGCAGGGCCAGCCTGGCTCAGCTAGTCACGCCCCCATCACACTTTCAATATTGTAGGGGGGTCAGAAGATGGTGATTTGCCTTTGGTGGTGAGTACACAATGCAATTTGCAGATCATGTATCATAGAAATGAACACTTGAAACTTATTTTAAAAATCAAGACAAATAACTGAAAGAAAATATAGCTTGCCCTAGCCGGTTTGGCTCTGTGGACCCCAGGTTCGATCCGGTCAAGGGCACATACCTAGGTTGCAGACTCAATCCCTGGCCCTGGTCAAGACACGTGTGGAAGGTAATGAACCCATGTGTCTCTCTCACATCGATATTTCTGTCTCTCCACCTCCCTTCCACTCTCCCTAAAAATCAATGGAAAAATATCCTTGGGTGAGGATTAGCAACAAAGAAAAAAATAACTGGTTTAGAAAAATATAACTTTAGAAGTCACAAAATACTTGGATGGGTCCAAAAATAAGTGAAGTCCAGGAAAAGTACACAGATCCGCGTTGGGTAGAGGCTGTGAACGGATAATTAGGGAGCCACACACATCAGGCACCCACAGGCAGCGACCCAATCAAATGGGTCAAAAAAGGCCTTTTTCCATCCCCCAACTTAGCACATGTATGTGTACACATGTGGTATGTACATTTTTTCGGTGGCGATGCCTAATGGTGGCAATGGTGTGCCCTTTTGGGGGCTGTGGGCAGCCATGCTGGAGGACAATTTGAAGATAGATTTTTAAAGAAGTCCCTGCTTTTGGGCCCATTAATTCTGCTTCTCAGAATCTGTCCTTATTAACTCCTGGGACACGGAGAGAAGCCGCCACCCTCGCGATGCCCGTCCTTTGCTGGGGTTACTGATTCCACAGGGAACCGGAACAACCCAAACGCGCAGGCGGCCGGCGGGCGGGGCCCAGGCCAGGCAGGCCTCCGCCGTGAGGCTGAGCGAAGCAGCGGGCGTGTTACAGGGCACAGCCCGGGCAGGAGAGGCTGGCGACCTGGGTGGCTGCGCTCCCGGGGCCGGGTCTCCAGGCTCCTGCCTGATGGCTGACTCCCAGGGTCAGCCCGGGAAACGGCAGGAGAGGCCGGAGTGGACGTGCGCTGTGGGCTCAGCCCCGCGGCTGGTCCGCTCTGCTCCGGCAGTGAGCGAGCAGGGCACCTCGCGTCCCCGAGGCGCTTGCGGGGAAACACACCGAGGAGTCAAGTGCATCTCCTGCTCCTGGGGGTGAATCGGCCCCATGGGGTTCGGGGCTATCCTGGCTCCCAAATTCCGGAGCTGCATTTAGGGGATTGAGAGCCCGTGTCCCTCTGTCCTGTCCCCGTCTTCTCGGAGCCCATGCTGCCTCTGAAAGCCACCCAGAAGGAAGGGGTGGCCCACGGGCTGAATCAGCCCTGCGCTGCCCCAGCAGACACCGCGGCGGCGGCGGCAAAACAGGGCATCACTGGCCAACCACGTGCAGGAGGTGCGCCTGCTCCGGGTGGAGTCGATCAGTGACCTGCACAGCGGAGGTGAGGAGGCGGGGGGCGGGGCGGGGGGAGCGGGAGAGGAAAGCCAGCGCCCCATTACTCTCCTGATGCCCCCATTTGCCCCGCAGGCTTGCTGTGCCCCTACCTGGCCGAGGAGGCACAGCCATGGGATGAGCTGCTGGGCCTCTTGCCTCCTGGCTGCAGCCGCGGGGGCTTCCTGCTGCTGCTCGCTCTGCTGGTGCTCACCTGCCTGGCGCTGGCCATCCTGGGGGTCTACCTGAGTGGTATGGGGGCGCGCAAGGCCAGTGGGAACCCAGGGCCAGGGAGTGGGACTGGAAGCCGTGCGGTTGGCGGGAGCCGCTGGAGAGGCGGAGGCAGTGCCGGGTGGGTGGGGAGTTGTGTGTATGGGGGGGGGTGGGGGGCACACATGGTCTGATAACCGCATCCCCGCCATCCGCAGTGCTGCAGAGCGAATCCCTCCGCACAATGGCGCACACACTGCACGCGCAGGAGGAGACCTTACTCAAGCTGCGGCTGGCCAGCCTCAGCCAGCTGCGGAGGCTCAACTCCAGCGAGGCCCGGGCGCCCAGCTGAGATGTGCCTGGGCCTGGAGCCGGGGGTGTGCTGGGGGAATAAAGCGGCCCTTGGCAGGTTTCTCCTCTCCCACTGCTGCTCCACCTACTTCCTGGTGAGGTTTCTGTTCAAGAAGCGGATCTGCCCCACAGCTGACCGCCTCTCCTGGCTTCTTCGGGCCAGGCCTAGCCGGGTCCCCTGGGGCCAAGGCCCGGCTCTGGGTGGCCCAAGGTCAGAGGCGGCGATGCCAGCTTCCGGACTCTCCCTGCGGCCTGCCAGCATTCCTTGGCCTCCCCAGAGAGCAGGTTCCCAAGTCTAGAGACAGCTGCCCCCACCCCAACTTTGCCGAGCTTCCCAGAGGGTTCCCGCCTCCGCTCTCCAGACAGACCAGGCTGAGCAGGGGGCCGTCTGGGGAGGCTCCGGAGGGCCAGGCGAGGCGGAGCTGGGTCCAAGCTGGGGTCGTGGTGAGGGGCGGGGGGCAGGCAAACACCCAGAAGCCAGGGCCACAGCAGGCTGCGCACTCAGTTTAATTACCTCTAATAGTCTTTAAAAACCCGCACATAAAGCCATGCCAGGGGCCTCCCCTCCCCACCTGTTGTGGTGACATTTGTCCAGATGCCACCCCACCCTCCTCAGGGAAGTGGTTCACCCCAGGGGAGCCAGGTGAGCACAGCTCGGGACGGGCGCATCGGGCCTGACTGAGACAGGGCAGGCAGGGTGCAGGGGCAGAGAGCCAGGGTCCCAAGTGGCCTGGCTCCAGCCACCCAGCCCGCGTCTGGTTTTGGGTTAGCCATTAAAAAAATAAAGCGACACTTTCTGGCAGGGACCAGCTGTTGCACTGTCTTCTGTGAGAAACCTGGGCAGGGTGTGGCGTCTCCTCACAGGACGTCTGCCCGCTTATCCCGCACGCGGCTGCGCGCCTTGGTCCGCGCTTTGCAGGCGGCTGCGTTGTACAGGTGCTGGCGGGGCAGAGTGGGGATCTGTGAG